TCAGCCAAATAGATAGATCGATAGATAGATAATGAACACATTCAGCCAAATAGATAGATCGATAGATAGATAATGAACACATTCAGCCAAATAGATAGATAGATAGATAGGTAGATAGATAATGAACACATTCAGCCAAATAGATAGATAGATAGATAGATAATGAACACATTCAGCCAAATAGATAGATAGATAGATATGATTATAATGGGATAGATGTGAACCAAATGAAATAGATAGATAAATAGATAAATATGAACACAATGAGATAGACAGAACATGAACAGACTGTAATAGATAGATATGAACAGATTGTGATAAATAAATTGATAATGAATAGACCGAGATAGATATGTATAAATTCATTTCATTTTTTGTCTTGAAAAAGTCCACTTTGGACAAAACACATCGGCTAAAACTTTTTCCTCTTGTCTTTTTCCTTAATGCATATATATCTATAGGAGGCATGGTGGAGCAGTGGTTAGCGGCTTGGATTGAGGAATCGCAGAGCCGAGTTCGAATTCCAGTCGAATCCACTGCATTCACTTACGTGCTAATACCCTTGGGAAAGGTATGTATCCTCTTCATCTCCCTCCAGCTATGGGTAAAATAGCAGGACAGACTGGGTTCTATAGCCTTGGATGGCAACTGGTCTAGGAGAAGGACAACTCTGAATTCAAAACTCATGGAGGGTCGTTTGGGAACCTTTGGCATGCATTAAGGTGCACCAGGTTTCTGTATTCGTCCCTCCAAAAGTGTGGCTGGTCCTGCACAAGGCCTTCACCACTATAAACAAATCTCATGTGCCGGTGTCGGGATGTCGGTTCCTGGGGACTTATCGGCCTGACCCTCATAGGTCAAACGTGACGGGAGAGTCGATTATATATATATATATATATATACACGTTTAGTTTAATAATTTAGAAAAAACTATGTCTGTTTATTTTTGTTTTAATCCTTTTGAGTCCATGAATCAATTTCTTGGTAGTCATACAAAAATTAAGAAAAATACCAAAATTTTCTTTCAAATAATTTTATTTTCCTAACGTACTTTCAGTCTTATCTGAGATCATCTTCAGGAGATTAAATTGTCTGTGTGTGTTTATACATATTTCTACAAATTCAAAACATTTTTACTGTTCATTTTACTTCATTTTTTATCATTCTATATCAGTTTCAAATTTTTTTTTCCATGCAAGGGTGGCAATTTTTGTATTTTTTAATTTATTATATACTCTCGACTCTCCCGTCAAATTCGATATATGAGAGTCAAGCAGATCAGTTCCTAGGAAACCGACGGTTCGACAACAGCACATGAGATGGTGAAGGTTTCATGCAGGACCATCCACACTTTTTGAAGGGCCGAGTACAGAAACCTTGCGTACTACGTGCCACAAGGTCCCCAAACAACCCTCCACAGGTTTTGAATTCAGAGCTGTCCTTCTCCTAAACCAGTTGCCATCCAAGGCTATAGAACCCAGTCTGTCCTGCTACTTACCCATAGCTAGAGGGAGAAGAAGAGGATTCACACCTTTCCCAAGGGTATTAGCACGTAAGTGAATGTAATGGATTCGACTGGAATTTGACCTCAGCTCTGATTCCTTAACCCAAGCCGCTATCCATCACTCCTCTGTATTATTATATATATATATATATATATATATATATATATATATATATATATATATATATATATATAGGAATGGCTTGTTAATGCCTCCAATATATATATATATATATATATATATATATGAGCAATTGATTCAATATAATCTTTCCATTTCATGTCAGCAACAGATTGTTGATCATTTTTGAGATTAGTCGAGGGGTTGAAGTATGTCAGATTTAATGACAGTTTCCCCTAGGTGAACACAGGTTTGAGTCTTGCTGAAGAGCACATATTTTTTCTCTAATAAGATTTCTTGCAGTTCAGACCACACACCAGGCTCATTTGCAGTGTGCAGCTTCTACTAGTTGAATGCTTCTACCATCATTAGCCAAGAAAAAACGTGTAACAAAATTATAGCACTTGGAAAATATTATTCAGTTGCCATCTTCTCATAAGGGCTGGCTGTAGGTGATTGAGGAAAAGTGAGGGAGCAAATGGTCTAAGTGGCATTTGTCTTCATTTCATGTGGCGAGCAAGTGGTCTTCAAGTGGTTCTCTGGTTTAGCCTGCAAGTGACCATTGTCTTATGGAGAAAAAGCCTTCTTTCAGTTTTCATGTAAAAGAATTAATTCATCAAGAACCCAGAGATCTGGCTCCATTTAGCTGACCTACTTCACTCTTCATTGATAAATGATGAGATTATATCTGAGTTTGTTATTTCTTTTGGGAATATTTCTTATACATATATTTTTCTTTTACTACTGTTAACCCAATACAAGACCCACTCAAGTTAGAGTTACTGAATATCAGGGTCAGTTGACCTGGTTCTTGGAAAGTTCACCCTACTCAGCTGATCTTCTTTGTCTAGATGATAATTGTCAAAAACAATTTCTGTAACATCCTGCAGATGTTTCCTTATCAAGATATCAGATGACAGCTGATATCACCTTATACCTGTTAAAAAAAAGTAGACATACATTAAATGGTAGGAACTGTGTGGTTTATACACATGTGGGTACATGTGTAAAACATTCAGTCACTAAGTGGAAAGATATCCCCATTTCATGGAACATAATCCTGTTGGAATTACTTTTACTGTATGTTAGAAGGAAAAGATAAAAAGAACAGGAAGTGTAGAGTTTTTATAGGTGCTTGACAGTACCACCTAACAACTTCTTGGTGGCAAATTTATATGAGGGTAACACACATCACTTTTGATTTGACATGATTTCCAAGCATCCTCATTCAGTAGCTCTACCTTGAGTGGGTCTTGGGCCTTGTATTAGGTTAACAATAGTAAAAAAAAAATATATATATATTAGAAATATTCTGAAAAGAAATGACAAACTCAGATATAATCTCATCGTTTAGCAATGAAGAGTGAAAAAAAAATCCTTTTTCATGTGTACATATTTTTTTCTTTTTTCAATGCTTCTTCGTTTGCGTTTTATTTCTGTAGAAAAAAGGAAAATACTAAAAATGAAAGAATGACAATAAAACTAGCTTTTTAGCTAGAAAAAATACTTTTAAAAAATAATTCTTTCTTAAATATTTTACTTTTTTTAGGGTCTTTTTTTTACCTTCACCGTGCTTCCAACACAGCGTATTTGATCCACGTTAGATTTTTATCGAGACATTGATTGAATCTTCTATGCATCAGATCCTCATGCCTTTATTTATTTATTTTTTTGGCATTACTTTTTGTTATCATTTAAGAATATTCATTTTAATACTGTCAAGGTTACTTAGTTTTACCCAGATAACTAAGCCTCCTCCTCTTCCACTATACCTTTTCCACTGCAGTATAAAGAGAGAGAAAAAAAAACAAAAAAAAACTCCAAGTCATCTGCAGTCTTTAGAAAATTTTCTGAATTCTTATTTGAAAAATAATGTTGCATTTCCGGAGATGGACGAAAAATCTATTCAAATCCTGGAAATATTTCGGCTTTTCTTTTTTCCATCCACTGATTTTGCTGCTATTCCACATCTACCAAATAACCGAAATCACATCACTCAACAGTTAATAACATAGACATGGTTAATACTACATTACTATTAGAAATGACAAGAACAGATACTGCACTTTGATCAAGTAGCACTGTTACGGTTACCATTAATTATCATTGTACATTCTGGCTTTCTTCAGTTGTCTTCTGGTTACTCTTCAGATGGAACTATTTATTCAATCCAACAAAATATATACACTAGACCAGTGGAAGGAATAAGCTGCAAGGCCCAAGAGCCACACAAGGCAGAGGGTTACTGAATGTGCTTGGTTTGTAAGAATCATAGATTATGAAGATATGTAGGATTGATAACGGTTGACCCTAGACCTGAAAAGGTTCTGATTTTAGTGCAAGAGAAAGCATCTTCTTGGGAGTCTGTTCCATGAACCCATCCAAATAAAAGCCTTCTCTTTTTTCAGTAATGAAATTTGAAGGGAATGAAGATAGTTTTCCACCTGATATCAAATTCGAGAGCGGAAATCATGACGGCATTAATTTTGAGGTTTAAAATTTTGGTGTCTTTTCTTTTTTTTTTTTACAATTATGTTCACATAAGGCCTAAGAACCACTCGAGGTAGAGGGCTACAGAGTAAAAGGTACCACCCCAAGTAAGATGATGATAACACCAAGATGTAAGGGGCCACTGGAAGTGAAAGAGAAGAAAAAGACTCTAAGGGAACCGGAAACCTAATCCTAAACAGGAAACAAGGAATAAATCTCTACTGCTGTTCAAAAGACCGGGGAGAAGTGTGAACCTGGCGATAGGCAAATCTCTTTATTCCTATTAATCATTCTTCATTCCCAATTATGGGCTGGTGCTACACATTCACAAACAAAGAACTGTACCAAATAACAGAAACCACACCTCTTGTGGACTACCAACAGTAGCAACAATGCAAATGGATAGCACATGTTAACTCAAAGAGAAAATAATGACATAATAAAGATGTTAACATTCCACACTACTTCAAATAGAAGGTTCAGAAGGAAAACCCCTGTCAATACTGGAAAGAGCAATAAGAGCTACTGGACTTGAGAAACATATTTTTCCTGAAAAATTGTGTAAAGTGAAAGATTTTATAAATTTCAACTGACAGCAACACTGGCTGCTCAGACAATGAATGCCAAATGTTTCCTTATAGGAAAACAGCTAATATTATCATTACCACTGAGGGAAAAAATGTAAATAAATAGTAAATAAAGCTTCAGAGATTTAGGCAGAGACGTTAGAAATATAAAGCTGAAGTAGATTTTAGAAGGAACTAGAAAATGAATCCTAAACCAGAAACAAGGAATAAACCTCTACTCCTGTTCAAAAGGCTGATGAGGAGTTTAAACTTGATGATAGGTGAATCTATCTAATTTGCAAGTCCGTGGGTATATGTTGGTGTATGTGAGTATATGTGCATGCGTGTGTGTAGAAAAATAGTCCACATTTTTCTTTCAAATGACTGTTAATCTTATGTTGCAATATCAACTGAAGCATTTATTTGGAGGCTTCAACCCAGCATTAATTTAACATATTATGATAGATATTACCAAAACCAATTACATTCCTAATTATTTTAGATGCTACCAATTTTACATTTTTTATCTTAAATAATGTTTACTTTTGCATGGAATTTGCAATTCTCTATGTAATTAAGAGAAGTGTTAGAAGAAAGGTCAAATAAGTGCGATATTTTCAAAAACTGACAAATTGTTGCCTAACAAGAATAAATCGATCCATCATAAAAAGATAACAAAATTACCAAATAAACGACTGTTTGTCTGGCACTCTTGAAGGATTATATTTTGTGAAAGATTTAGCGCTATATATTTCTTTCCAGTTTTCTGGAATTTTAATGGGTGTTATTTGTTTGTGAAAGAGTAAAGACTCGATATGGATTGGCTTCATGAGAAAAAAATGGACATGAATTAATATCTTGCCAAGAGCTTATTCTTTATTTTTAATTGACAACTAAAACTAAGGATTAAATAATAATAATAATAATAATAATATATATATATATATATATATATATATATATATAGAGAGAGAGAGAGAGAGAGAGAGAGAAAGAGAGAGAGCAGTATAATGAAACAAAGATAATGAAAAACAATAACATATGTATAAAGAAATGAAATAAGACACTAACACACAAAAAAGAGAATGTCTCATATTGAGAATATTTAACATCGAAAAACATAAAAAAATTAATTATTTTTAATAATGTGGAAATCTCCACACTTTGTCTGATGAAGGTCATAAAACTGGAAACAAGTGTAGCAAAATTATGGAAAATAAAGCATAATATATTTTTTTTAAAAATCCACATTACAACCAAAAACGTTTGTGCTTCCTCTCTTCTTTTTATTATACACACTTCTTTTTATTATACACACTTCTTTTTATTATACACACTTTTCTCTCATTGGAACTACAATAACCTCTTCCCTTTATATATATATATATATATATATATATATATATACACACACACACATGCACATGCACACATACACTCACACGCAAATACATATATAAATCGATAACCAGATATGAAGGGAAATATATAGATAGGTATGGACAAGCTGAGATAGATAGATATGACCGAGATAGATATGAACAGACTGTGATTGATAGATAGATAGATAGATAGATATGACCGAGATAGATATGAACAGACTGTGATTGATAGATAGATAGATAGATAGATAGATAGATAGATAGATAGATAGATAGATAGATAGATATGAACAAAATGAGGTAGATAAATAGATAGATATGAACAGACTGAGATAGATAGATATGAAAAGTATGTGAATAAACAGGAGGCAATTATAAATACATATTTAAACAGATGTAGGCATTAAGACTGATTTTGGTTTGACCATCTGTTTTGTCCAGGTCATGGTCAAGAGTAAGTTGTTGGAATAGTTTTGATTTGTGATCAGAGCTTGGCAATAATCAATTTGGAATTGATAAAATACAAAATGTCTCTTTTTGAACAAAGAGAGAATTATTGTTGTACTGGCTAAAACTGATGAAATCTGAATTCCATTTCTGGAAAAGACTATTGTTCTAGAATAACTGCTTCAGTGGATGTTATTTTATGTTCTTTCAGGACTTGAGCAATGATGGATCATGATCAGTGATGGATCAGCACAAGTTTTGGTTGAGCCATTACTTTCTGCCTTTATCCTGGCCCAGCCATTCATTGACAAAACCTCAAGGACATTGCTCACCTTTTCTTCCCTGCTTAGTCTTGTAAGAAATGATGGGAAATTTTACATTGAAATCCTAAAGCATTAGAAATGAAGAAAACAGTGCTGAACTGCTATATAATATCTAATTTCCCCAGTGAATGTAGAAAATGTTCTAACAAGCTATATTCATTCATTTCGGCATTATTTTAATATCTATAGAATATAGGAATATATTCGCTCTAATCTGTATTGAGCACTCTTTTAAGAATAGTATTTGTTGGTTAATGGAATTTATACTGTATACACCAATCCTATATTTGGATATATATATATATATATATATATATATATATATATATATATATATATACAGGTTAAGATAGACAGACAGACAAATACATAGATATGAACAGACTTAGATATAAGCAGATAGATTGATAAATAGATAGATATTAACAGGCTGAGATAGATAAATAGATAGATAGATAGATAGAAAATATACTGAGATAGAAAATATATGAGATAGATAGATAGATAGACAGAAAATATATTGAGATAGATAGATTGAAAATATACTGAGATAGATAGATAGATAGATAGATAGATAGATAGATAGATAGATAGAAAATATACTGAGATAGAAAATATATTGGGATAGATAGATAGATAGATAGATAGATAGATAGATAGATAGATCGAAAATATACTGAGATAGATAGATAGATAGATAGAAAATATACTGAGATAGAAAATATATTGAGATAGATAGATAGATAGATAGATAGACAGAAAATATATTGAGATAGATAGATTGAAAATATACTGAGATAGATAGATAGATAGATAGATAGATAGATAGATAGATAGATAGATAGAAAATATACTGAGATAGAAAATATATTGAGATAGATAGATAGATAGATAGATCGAAAATATACTGAGATAGATAGATAGATAGATAGATAGATAGATAGATAGATAGATAGATAGAAAATATACTGAGATAGAAAATATATTGAGATAGATAGATAGATAGATCGAAAATATACTGAGATAGATAGATAGATCGAAAATATACTGAGAAAGATAGATAGATAGATAGATAGATAGATACATAGATAGATAGATAGATAGATTATGTATATCATAGGCAGAGATAAATCTGATTTCACATGTAAAAGATTTCTATTTGTTTAGACAATTCCTAATTCCAAATTCTGTTGGTCAAATTCTGCCAATCCTACCAAATCTCTTATGTCCTCTTTTGTTTAGACTTAATCCGTTACTCATCCCTACAGAATGTCCCTATATCCATTCAACCATTTCTGGGTGTGTCATTTTATTCTAATGACAAATTCAACCAAAATTAGTTTTGTTTTTCTCTTTCTATTAGTTGAGTTCTTTTTTGTATTTTACATTTCTTTTTGGAGTTTCCTTTCTTTCTTCTTCCTTTTCTCTTTCTGTTTCTTTCTTTCTTTCTTTTTATCTGCTTTATACTTAATATGTTTCCTCTTTTTCTTTCTTGTTCTTTTCTTTCTTTTCTATTCTCTTTCTCTCTTTGTTCCTATCTTTTTCACTTAAACTGTTTTTATATGCATCTTTCACATGGTTCCACATTCTCTTTTCTTCTGTTTTTGATTCCTTCTTCTTTTTCCCATCTTTGTTTGTATTTCCTCCTCTTTCTTTTCTTTCTCTTTCATTCACTTTCTGATGCAATCTTTTTTATCCAATTTTTTTTACTCATTCTTTCAGCACTTTCATTCCTTATTTATTACTATTTCTAGTTTACTCTTTATTTTTCTATTTCTTTTTTTATCTCTTTCTTTTCATTCTCCTTTGTTGTACTTCTTTTTCACCATTACTGTATTTCCCTCTTGTCATTCCTCATTATTTTTCACTTCTTTTTTTTCACATCAGAAGGTAAAAAAAAAACTGAGTAGAAAGAGAGGATAAAAAAGCCTTTTCTTTCTCCTCAGTTTTCTTTGGCCTTCTCTTTCTCCTCAGTTTTCTTTGGCCTTTTCTTTCTCCTCAGTTTTTTTTTGACCTTCTCTTTCTCCTCAGTTTTCTTTGGCCTTCTCTTTCTCCTCAGTTTTCTTTGGCCTTTTCTTTTTCCTCAGGTTTTTTTTTTGGCCTTCTCTTTCTCCTCAGTTTTCTTTGGCCTTTTCTTTCTCCTCAGTTTTTTTTTTTTTTTGGCCTTCTCTTTCTCCTCAGTTTTCTTTGGCCTTCTCTTTCTCCTCAGTTTTTTTTTTTGAGGCTTTCTCTTTCTGAATTTTTTGGCCTTCTCTTTCTCATCAGCCTTTTCTTTCTCCTGAATTTTTTTGGTCTTCTCTTTCTCCTCATTTTTTAGGGCCTTCTTTTTCTCATCAGTGTTTTATCCTTCTCATAAAACACAACAAAGTAACCCACTACCTTGAGTAGCTCTTGGGCCTCATATTCTTTGAACATTAGTATAAAAATTATTTTCAATGCAAATCTATAGTAAAATCTTTAGTAATGTATTTATCTTATAAAATAAAATAATTCTGTTTTATCTCACATATCTTATTTCCTGACCATTCACCATACTACCTTTTCTTAGTTTTTAAAATATAAAATATAGATTCTACAAAGACTTCTTGAAATAAATATTTGGTCAAGAATTGCAAAATTTAATTTTTATGGCTTTATTAATTTTCTCTTCCCATAAATATCTCTTATCAGTACTCTCAATTCCTCTGTATTTTGAACTAAGTCTATAAAGTAATGCAGGTCTTCTCAGCACTTCAAAGATTTTACAGTGATTGATGGAATTATGACAGTTCTTTTAATGTTGTTGTCCAATCTGAATGCTATAGTTGTTCGTTCAATGTCTATGAATGTTATTCTCCAATTTAGTATTGATGACAAAAAATTTCAAAAATATTTACACTCTGGTTCCAAAGATATTAACTTGTGCTGGACATCTTAAAGCAGTGTAATGGTTAGAGAGTTTGTCTTGCTAGTAAAATTATGATTGAGTAGTGAGTTTGATCCTCACTGGGTGCCCCATACTTTCGACCTTGTGCCACATCTAAGCTATGCTTGGAAAATCACTATTAACTTGTGCTGTCTAACTCTGATATTAATACCAAGTCCTTCTTTAATTTTGCTTTAAGAGACAATGCACATCAGTCAGTTTCCCATATATATATATATATATATATACAATTGTAAATTTTATAAAAATTCATAAGAGAAACCACAAGGAATCTAAATCAAAGATTATATGAACACAAAAGGGACATTTTACAAAACAATACATCAAATGCATTGGTTGTTCACTGTAATGAGACTAACCACAATTTTGACATAAAATATGCTACTCGGATTCAAGGAGAAAACTATTCACTGTTACGAAAATTTTTGAAGAGTCCCTAGATCACATGGTCATCTGCAATAAATCTGTGCCCTGGCTCTTACAACATTTCATTGTTCCTGCAACACAGTTCAACTAAAATCTAAGAAATTGTCAAATTCCAAGTCTAACTGAATTGTAAGTTAAAAAGTAAACTGTGTTTACAACTTACCATTAACTCGGATCTTTGGTTTAATAAAGCATTTTTATTAAAGAACCTTTGCATATATATATATATATATATATATATATATATATATATATATATATATTAATGCCTGTATATATATGTATATTAATGTGACTTTCTTTCTTTGTAGGGCATGAGATGAAAATATGCAAAGGTGGATTTTACTGTGAACAATGCAGTGATTCAACTTACCAACCCAACAGCAATAAATATGGAGATCAGTGTCGTCTGAGGTAAGACAGAATTTGATTTTCTTTGTCGGCAAAGAATTTTCAGGAAGCTTTCTCTCTCAGGTTAGAGAGCAATTTGTGTCAATCAAGTTCTTAACTTTATTTATAAACATGTATTCCTGCTTTGCACTCAGTTTTATTAGAACAAAATCATGTGTGGTATTACCCTGTTGTTGGGGCGATGAATATGTTGACTGCTCCTGGAGCAGTTGAGTAAGGTATCACTAACAAAAATGGACACTTTACTTATGGATACTTGTGCATTCAGGTATAAACATTACCAATTTCGGTGTTTTTGACTCTCAAGCAAACCAGACCTACCTGTATCTTTTGATCCTCCATGGGCCAATGTCTACCTTTTTAATCATGTAAACAGGACTAATGTCTACCTTTTTGACCATGTAACCATGACTAATGTCTATCTTTTTGACTCCTCATGTAAACAGGACTAATATCTACCTTTTTGACACCTCATGTAAACAGAACTAATGTCTATCTTTTTGACTATGTAAACAGGACTAATGTCTACCTTTTTGACTCCTCGTGTAAACAGGACTAATGTCTCCCTTTTTTAATCTAGTATAAACCAAATTTATGCCGAACCTATTTGAATCTACTGTAAACCAGACATATGTCTACTTTCGACTCTTATGTAAACACAACAAATGTCTCCCTTTTTAAATCTAGTGTGAAGCAGACTTATATCTGCCCTTTTTTACTCTAGTGTAAACCGAACCTATTGTTGTATAGTCCCCTTGTACTAGGGAAGTGTTGGGCAATAGTGTCAATTCAATAATAAAGTTGCATTCTTCTCTCATGGCTGGTGGTCACTGAGTTGTTTTGAGTCTAGAAATAAAAGAATACAATGAATATTAACATAACTATTTTATTAATGTTCATGTTGACATGTTCTATCAATCCAGTAGGGGTCACCCCTTCACTGGTGAGCCATTTCAGACATGAAACTGTACACATCTACATTGTTTGTTTGTTTAGAAACAAATCATTGAAAAGCCTGTCTCTATACCTATGATTCCCATGCTGGCTCAGCCAATCAAAATCAATTTTCTTGTTTTGTCTTCTATCTGACCTTAAAGGTCAATCCTCAGAAAGTCTGAGCAAGAGGTACTATTCATTCTAAAAGTAACAGTCTGCTAAACTATTATTTAACACTATATCTACATTTTCAGTTCTCAGGTAAATGAGACCTAAGTCTACCTTTCTATTAATTCTTTGTAACTTTTAATCAGGAAGACATGTATTCAACATTAAATAACTTTGTTTTCCAACTGTTTACTCAATACAAGATCCAAATGCTATTTATTCATGAAAAGGGTTACTGAATGAAATTGTTGGAAGGATGTAAAGGGGTACAAGTAGTGTATATTATATGGATCTCTAGAATAGATAACATGAATATGTCAGCATTGTTATGACCATGAAAGCATCCACTGGGGAGTTTTTTTAAATTAATAGTTCTTGAGAAGTAACTGTCAGAGTAGAACTTCTTCCTTATGAATGGAATATGAAGGGAGTGCGGATGAATCAACCCTCTGTAGATGGCACAGTTCATGCTATAGATATTTGAACTGGTGGAAGTCAGCAATATAGCTTGTCATGAAAGATGTCAGAAGGAGATTGGTACTTTCTGGAGATGTTCAATGAACCAACCATTTTTCCTGAGGATTGTGTAAGTCCAGCACAGATATGGCAGCAATATTCCATTTTGGTCTAAGTTGATCCTTGTAAAGATAGAGCATGGCAAATGGTGTCAAGTAAATTCCAGAGTGCTCCGAAGAACCAACCATTTACCCATCATCTTTAGCTGGGGATCGTATATATGTGTTACACTTGAGTGAGTTTCAGCCACAACAGATGTTCAATGCAATCCTTGAGAGAATGACTATTCATCACAACTGGAGGAAAATCAAGATCTGTTCTGTAATAATGAAATGTTACTAGCTTTGTTTTTGGAGGTATTGGATGTTACAAGTCTGTTTTCCCAAATTGGCCTGTGAAGGTTAGGTCTGAGGATATTTATATATATACTTTCATTTAGAATATTACATCAAGAACGTGTCAAAATCGCTACACAATTGCAACAGTGTTTCGTCGCGTATCAACGGATCTCATCAAGTTATTATAAATTTACTGGCGAGTGAATGATTTATTCAGATTTACAAGCAAAATATAACCTCTTTTATGAAAAAAAGAAAAGGTGGGGGGTTATAAGGTTTGTGGGCTTTACTCAGATCAACCAGACCTACCTGTACCTTTTTGACACTCATGTAAACAGGACTTCTCACTTTTTTCCTATAGTGTAAACCAAACATATGTCTACTTTTTTGACTCTGC